TTTGATTATAAAAAAATGAATGTAAATAACGCATATATAAATATGGATTTATTGTAAACATGACTAAAAACTTTTTGGTATTTACACTTGTGAGTGATAAGAAAAATACAGTATGGTTACACTTTACCAACAGGCAAATTAAACACAGAAAGGTGAAAGTTATTGTTAGGGCAACCTCAGGGTAAAATTCTAGAATTTTATTTAAGGGGCACTTACCGAACCTAATTCAGTATCAAGTGATTTACATAGGATTTGCCTAAATAGTAAAAGGTGTAACTTAAATGTGATACAAGTGTTTGTTATCTTCAAATGTATGTGTAAATCCAAAAGTGAGGTTATCTACATGTTTGGTCTCACTGTAGATAGACAATGGTATGGTAAGTGAGTCATGAGTCCTATCCACGTTGTATCTGTTTAACGTAGAACCCAATGTGGTTCTAGCAGAGTGGTACCAAGAGGGTTGCTGAAGAATGGCTACCAAAGCCCCAATTAAAAGCAATCTAGATCAGTCTGGACTCTCTCTAGATATAGCTTAGCACTGTCTAGGTATAGCCTAGCAACTGTCCAACTATAGCCTAAGACCCTATAACGATGTTCGTATAAAAAACAGATCGAGCCTCAAACATTAGAAATAATCTTACCTCAAGGTGAGGGATGTTCTAGGCCTAAGGCGAAGTCTTAAACTTCCAAAAGCTGCTCGGAACAGTCCTATTGAAGAAACGAAACAGGTGTTGTAGGTTAATAATCCTGAAGAAAATCTCAAAACTTACCGAAACAAAATCCAAAAATGACCAAGGGATAACTCTAGACAATTATCAACAAGAAATTAGTCTGAAACTCGTTCCCCGGCACAAAATTCCAAAAAGTCTCGCCCAAAATTATTAGGGCCGAGACCAACCTTTCGGTATCAAGTCTCAAGATCAAAAAGGGAGATTCTTCCTTCTGGATTTTCGAAGAAGGTTTCCATTTGTCAAACTTCTAATTTTGACATTGATGAAAAATTATAGAAAAGAGCGTGTTCAGTTTAATCCCAAAAATACAAACCGAAAAGTGGGTTATATTGAACTATCCAAGATGCTGTCAAACTTGAATTAAAATGGCCGCCAAGACGCACACAAACCCTTTTTTTATGTGTCATTCAATGTGTCATAAATTTTTTTTCAAAAAAATGGTGCTCATTTTTCATTTGCGTTTTGATACTCGTTCTTTTTACTCGTATTTTTATTAATGTTAGAAATAGAACAGATCCCTAGGGCACTCCTGCAGCGATATCCAACCCCTCTGAAGTACTGCACCCCTAGAAGCAGTACTTCATGACAGACACAATCGAAAGCTTTTTTCAGGTCACAAAAAACTACCGCGGCCACTTCTTCGTCATTTATCTTCTAATACAGCTCATCCAGGAGATGAAATATGGCATCATCAGTGTTTTTTGACTGCTGAAACAGAGACAGAGAAAGCAATTTATGTCTTTCAAGGAAGCTCACCATCCACCTTAATTAGCCACTCTACAATTTTAGTCTAAGTTGCCAGTAAGGATATTGGCCGGTAATAAGATGGTAAATTCTTATCACCCCCCTATTAAACAAAGGTACTACCCAAGATTGCTTCAAAAATGAGGGAAAACTTCCGGTAAGAAAAGAATTAATAATGGAATCCGCCAACATATCAACAGCCTAACTGAGATATCGTCCCATCCAGAAGATTTTCTATTTTTGATACTCAATTTCTGAGCAATCGTACAATAGTATGAATTAATATTATCTGCTTTCAAATTGGAAGCACATATGTATATTTCTTTTTTTTTTCGCGTAGGTCGTTACTCTTTTTGTTTATTGGATGCGGATGCCCAATCTCTCATTGTAATAAATCTTCCTTGCCTGTTTCATCGTCTTTCTGTAGATGCTCCTGTATCCATTATTTAAAGTAGGTAGCACAACACTGGACGGTGGAGTTGCAACAAATAAATATTTTCACATTTTAAGGGTAGGTTCTGGGTGTCCAAGTGAAATGTAGGTAGAGCAATCTTGCCCAAACAATAGGGATTCCGTAATTGGGTAGAAACGGCCAAAAAATGAGACGCACACAATAGAAAATGAGTATTTGATTATGAGCATTAATGACATAACCTAATGACGTTATGGTTTGTGTTTGTGTCAAATGTTTGTGTGCCTCTTATCGGCCATATTTGTGTCACGTGTTTTGGATAGTCTAATAAAAATGAGTGGTGAATGTTGAAAAATGCCTATAGAACATATATCAAAAAGTAAAACAGGTCTAAAGAAAACGCCTAGACAAAACAGCTGTTCAATGACATGGAAATGAAAAATCAAGAAAGTAAACAACAATTATTATGATAACCTCAGATTATTTGATTGGATTTGCAAACAGAGATGATGATGGTATTACCTCCTTTTCCTAAGATTCTAATCAATAACAGCGGGCCCTCCGTACTGAATCAAACCTTCCTAGATCAATTAATCAAACTTGCAAACCTGAGCTGAAAAACTTTCAGTAGAAGGCAGTACTCAAGGTAATAAAATCTGGGCACAGGAAATATAGTTGTTCATTCATTTATTTCTTTATAGTTCTATATAGAATCATATCTACTAGAGCAAAACACAGTAGCATATCAAACAAGAAATTGAAAATGCTACAGTCCTTTAAAAAACTCGTCTCCATATCAGACCGCCGCCTATAATAAGTTTCACTTCGAAAGTTTCATATTTTTGCCGATTTGTCAAAAACGAGTGGACCAAAATATGAAGTGTGCTATATCATTGTAATCAGAATAAGATATCGAACACATATATAATATACAGGGTGTTCCATTTAAAAAAATATAATGTAGGCTTATATGTCAAAAAGTTGATAGTGTTTTGTTTTAGGTGTAAAAAAACTTGGCTACTAACCCTACATTTTGTTTTTTTGTTTAAGAAATGACTACCCATTTCCGGTCACATATTTATGGGAACTTTTTTTGTTAAAATATTGTAAGGAATGACATCCTGAAGTTATGGACCGTACTTAGGAAATACCCTGTATATTTTTCTATTTTTTGACCACCCTGTACATGCTATTTCAACTTTTAATAGTTTAATATTATTTTTTCAAGAAGCAGAAACTCTTTTAAAGGATAACTTTTTTTCGTAAAATTGATGATAAAAAAGTTTCCCATATGCTGCGAACTTAAGTGGATACACTGTATTTTATGAGAAAATTTCATGAATCAAAAATTTAATTTTTTTGTCAAAAATTGTCAAAACACCAGTTCTCGCATTAGTTACTATGCAATAATTTACACTAATACAGATTATCACGTAATTCCAATCGGATTGGTTCAAATCAACAATCAAAACATGTTAGTTTATTGTTGGTATGTCAGTTTTGACAGATATATGAAATTCTCATAAAAAAAACGGCTACTAAAATAAAAAATCGACGTATCCGAGATTTTTTGAAAAAAAATCAACCCTGTATTTTTGATGGATTTTATTCCCAACCTTTACGTACTAACTGTTTTTAACTATGCTATATGATATCCTCTTTCGTTTCTTGAATTCTAGTAAAGTAATCTTTGTTCGTTTTGAGCGCATTATGAAATATAGTCACCATAATTATTTATACAAACTAATAACTGGCCTTGCAGTCCTCTCGCGTTGTGTAATTTTTACTTACCCCGGTGCGAAATTAAATCCGCCAGAGGCAGCACCTCGCTGCAGCCAAAATTTTTGAATTTCCGTGTTTGCAGGGCTTACAATTTGAGACGAGATCTCAAAAACTACTTAATATTTTTGAGTGAATCAAGAAGATTCGAAAAGATAATAAAATTTAGAACAATGCTCTTGTTTCATTTTTTTTAAAAAAGCGATGGGTTTGGATGTACCGAGCGATAGAAATGATGCTTTTTTTAGAGTATTTAGGTCGTGATATTTTCAATTTGCAATTTTTTTTTCGAAAAACTAAAACAACAGCATGAATCTTTAGACTTTTAACTTTTATTATTTTCTAATCCGGTCAAAAAATATTACAAAATAAGTGAGTTCTCGTCTCGGGAAATCAACCCTTTTTCTCAATTTTTACCGGCTTGTTGTTGGCCTCTTAACTTGATTTGTTGGCGAGACTTTCCAGCATTACATATTTGTATAGTTTTATTGACTGGTGTGAAATTAAATAATTCTGCTATGGATCAATTAGCACGAGAAATCTGAAAGTAAATAAAACCGGGGTTTGAATCCATCAAAATGTATTTTTCAAGTTTGTGATCAAGTTTTTTCAATTTAGTTGAGGTTCCAAATATTCCCATGATGAAAAATCGGTTGTAATTTGACATAATTTTTGTCTCCTATATTTCACTCTTTTGTCGGGGATTTTTTGGATCCTAACATTATCAACATGGATTTTCGATTTTTTTTTTTTTTTGGAATCTGCCACTTTGTAATGCCTGCAAGATGAAATGTTGAGGCTAAGTCGAAAGTGGTAAAATACTGATATTTCCCTAACTTTAACACCCAAGGATGAGATTTGTACATTTTTGACTTACAATTTTTTTTTCTTCAGATACCTACACCAACTTTTTCCAAAGACATCGCTCTCCTGTCACCTGTTACTGTTGTTTTTTGTCATTTACTATTATACCTTGTACTCTAGCTCTTCGGAAAATTGACTTTGTGTAATAATTTTGAGGTTTTCTGGTATTTTGCAAGCAGCAGCAATTTATTTTCCATTTTATTGGTTAATAAAAATACGTGTGGGCATATTTCACTTAATAAACCAAATACAATATAAATGGTCATGCATGAGCCTACATCCATTTGAAAAAAAAAAAACATATTTTTTAAAAAAACTTCGAAGTGAAAAATGTTGTTAAGACCTTTTGTGGCAACTGTGCTTCTCGTAGCCTTATTTTCAACGTTTGCCATTTGTGAATCTGCATTTGATGTAAGACCTTTTAAATTATTGAAAATGTAACTGGTAAATTAAAACTTACTTATTTCTAGGATAAAGAAAAAGAATCAAAAAAACAATGCAGTTCTGTCGATCCATACGAATTTATAGATTGTGTTTATAAAGTGTTTGGGATACTAGACAGAAAGGGTCGATTAGATAAAATAGAATTAATAAAGTTCTATAAAGAACAAAGTCAGAAAAATCCCAAAAGGTTAAAAGAAAATTTGAATAGAATAAATGTCCTAAAAGCATACAATTTCCGCAAATGTTTGAAAGTCGATTGGCTTGTACGTCCGGATGGGACTTTGAAAATGTTTTGCTTCAAATTAAATGAAACGCCGGAGGTAGTTTTAGAAATATTCTAGTTCTCTTATTTATGGTTAATAATTATGTAGGTTATTGGCAATATATCATGGATTCGCATAGATTCTTAGTGTGTTTTATTTTGAAAAAAAAATGTATACCTAGGTATGTTATGTTTGTTTCACGAGGGTTCGTACTTTTGACATTATTTGCCTTCCTTTTTTAGCAAATAAATTTTGACTGAAACATATTATGCCAAAAGTGCAATCTCTCGTGAAACAAAGAGTAGGTACAGTTGCGCCCATTAGAATTGGCACACATTTTTCAATGCACCTTGTATTGCATCATAATTGACCTTTTGTTTGGACGCCATATTGCGGTACGCGAACATAGTTGCCAAAAGAAAAAAACAAAAATTACTAGCGGGCTGTCAACATTAAAAACAAAAGTAACTAAATAATTGACCCTCGCTGTCCTTTTTGTTTGTTTACTTTTCTCTCTCTGATTCTATAAGCAGTAAAGCCTAGTACTCATAACCGCGAAATTCGCTCTTTTTTGACAGTGCTTCGACAATTCGACGTTTTATGCATGAATCTGTGGCATGAATTAAATGTCAAATTGTCGAAGCAATGTCAACAAAGAGCGAATTTCGCGGTTATGAGTACTAGCCTTGAGAAAGGAAACCGAAATTTGGTAAAGTGAATAGGTAGATATTTTATTATTTCTATTCTGCCCAATACAAGTTAAAATTGATGGCTTTTTTTTTTCAAAAACATTCGTAATAGGCGGCAAATTTAAATTTTAAATATAATTTATTCAGTAATTTTTGTTTTTAATGTTGACAGTACGCTAGTGATTTTTTTTTTCTACTTTTGGCAACTATGTCCGCGCACCGCAATATGGCGTCCAAACAAAAGGTCAATTTGACTTTTTTACCAAGCTGGTAATGCCAAAATTGTGTCAGTTTTGGCTTTATACAAAGCGCGCTCAAAAATTTGTGCCAATTCTAATGGCCGCAACTGTACAGGGTGGTCCAAATTGGATACTTTCTTATGGAAACGCCCTTTATTTTTAGAAATAGAAAAAATGGACCCCCCACTCTGAGGCTCAAATCTCATGAAATCTTGATTGGTGTGAAACCCCCATAACTTTTTTGTTTATGAAAATAATTGACCTTTTGTTTGGACGCCATATTGCGGTGCGCGAACATAGTTGCCAAAAGTAGAAAAAAAATTACTAGCGTACTGTCAACATTAAAAACAAAAGTTACTGAATAAATTAGATTTAAAATTTGAATTTGCCGTCTTTCACAAATTTTTTTGAAAAGAAAAGCCATCAATTTTAGCTTGTATTGGGCAAAATAGAAATAATAGAATATCTACCTATTTACTTTCATCAATCAGAGAGAGAAAGTAAACAAACAAAAAGGATAGCAAGGATCAATTATTTAGTTACTTTTGTTTTTAATGTTGACAGCTTGTTAGTAATTTTTGTTTTCTTCTTTTGGCAACTATGTTCGCGCACCGCAATATGGCGTCCAAACAAAAGGTCAATTCATTGCCGTAAAGACTTTCCAGAAGTATGTACTTTTTTATAGAAAATTCAGTGACGTTCTCAGTTTTTTTTTCTATTTGGCTCCGATTTCGAGATATTGACCAAAATTCGATTTTTTTCAATAGGACACCTTATATATTATTATTATTGGAAAGATCTGCTTTTTCTGATTTCAATAATTGTTTAGTGAACTTGTACCTGAGGCGAACCAAGTTAGTGTAGTTCGCGTGGAACGAATGAAAACGCCTTTTGGATTTTTGTACCAGACCGGCTGACACTTGACTTTCTTGTTTCTTGTTATTACCGCCTGTTTTCCAATATTCTATGTTTTCCATTATTATTAGCCTATCCAAAACACGTGACTTTGACAAAAAAACAAAGGGTTGTGTGCCTCTTGGCGGACATTTTAATTTAAAGTTTGACAGCATCTTGGAATTGTCAGCCTATCCAAAACACATGACTTTAACAACCAAACAACGGATTTGTGTGCCTCTTGGCGAACATTTGAATTTAAGTTTGACAGCATCTTGGATAGTCCAATTATAATAACCATTGAGGTTAATTACCAACAAATTTGATGTTTTGTTACAATTTAAAAGAATAGCTTTACTTTATTCTGTCAATCATTTCAATTTAATCTATTAATAATTTAATGTGAAAAATAAAAGTATTTTGTTCATTGGCACATTAGCATTTTACGTGAAATTCAAATAACATTTCCACCATATCTCAAACTGAGATACACATCAAAACATATGGTTCTTCGACGCTGGATTAGATGTTAGCTCTCCTTGCTAAATTTTGAGCAAGAGCTGTGTTTTATATCTACTGATTTCCTGGGTGTAATTATCGCGCCAGACCCGTTGGATACAATCCTTGTGATGATATTTTATGTAGCAACGAATTACGATTCCAGTTGTTTGATTTGAACACTCAACGAAATTAACTTGAGGAGAATAAAAGGAAGTAAAGGTACTATACTTTTTGAACTTGATACTTATTTGCTTAGTCTTTAAAAGTATTAGCCACAAGGTTGGAACCATTATCACAGATGAAATATTGTGGAACTCCAAATTTAAGAAACACCTCGTTTTCTAGAAATTTAACGATACAGTTGGCAGTAGTAACTCGCAAGGGATGTACAAAACAATATTTGGAGAGCCAATCACAGACGACGAGGAGGTAACAATTGTTTTTGGGTGATCTCGGAAATGGACCCATTAAATCTACTGCAATGATTTGCCAAGGAAACTGAACGGATTTTTCATTACCCATTAATCCTAATGGAGGAAGATTAGATACAGACATAACAAGTTCTTACAAAAGATAGCATATGCTTGCGCATTTTAGGCCAATAGAAATTTTCCTGAATTCGAGATAAAGTTTTGAAAAAACCAAAATGAGCGGCGGTAGGAGGATCGTGACAATATTGGATAGTCTGTTTCTGAAGATATTTAGGGACTACTATTTTCCACTCTCTAGTGTTGGATTTGACAGGGACAGAAGACAAAATTAATTTGTAAATAATACCGTTTTGAACTTTAAAGTGAGGAAAATGATCGGGAGATTGAAGAATTTTTTCTCTCAAGGAGACATACCAATGGTCAATATTTTCGGGAACTATATCGATAAGAGAAACTTCCGGAAGACACTCTGGGATACGAGATAAGGCATCAGGCACAATATTGTTTCTACCTTTACGGTGAACCAAATCAAAAGTATGAGTCCTCAGCTTCATAGCCCAACGTGCAAGTTTTCCTGTGGGATTTTTAAGATTATTAAGCCATAACAATGCTTGACAGTCTGTTGCAACCGTAAACTTAACACCTTCAATGTAACCTCTAAAACGATCCATATTAAATAAGAGAGCCAGACATTCCTTCAGAGTTGCACTCAGGTTTCGTTATACTTTAGTGAGAGACCTACTAACATATGCTATTACTTTTTCGACACCACCAATAATTTGGGTGAGGACACCTCCCAATCGAACATCACTGGCATCTCTCTGGATAGAAAAGTCAGGTTGACTCAAGACAGGTGCGGAAACAAGAGCCTGTTTGACTTGAAGAAAAACCTTCTCGGCATCAGGAGTCCACTGTATAGGTTGATTCTTCTTTTTACCTTTCGAGAGATCGTGAATGGAAGCCATTAAGGAAGAATATTCTTTCAAAAATCTTCGATACCGACCACATAAGCCGGAAAATCTTGTTGAGTGGTATGGGTTGGACGTGGATAATTAATCATAGCGGAAATTTTTTCAGGGTCTGTTCTCAAACCATCTGATCCTACAATATAACCAAGAAACTTGAGAGATGTTTTGAAGAATTCACATTGATTGTTAAATTAGCATCTTTCAAGATGTCTTTAACTTCAGAAAGTAACTTAACATGTTCTTCAAATGTGGAAGAAATTATCACAATGTCGTCAAGGTAACAAAATATATTGGGCTCATATCGAGGACCAAATAAACTATCCACAAGTCTCTGTTGAACTTGGGCACTATTGCATAAAGCAAAAGGAACTGAAGTAAATTAAAATAACCCACGACCCATAATAGAAAAAGCAGTTTTTTCTCGGGAGTTTGCATCAAGCGGAATTTTCCAGAAAGCCTCACTAAGATCTACTGAAGATATGTAATTGGCGCCACGTAACATGCTGAGAATTCGCTCTATATTAGGTAAAGGGTAGCTGTCATGTTTCGTTTGCTCGTTCAAAAACCGACCATCAAAACAAAATCTCATTTCCCCATTGGATTTCTTTACGAGAAGTACGGGAGAAGAATATGGACTTTTTGAAGCTTCAACGACACCTAATTTCAGCATATCGTCAAGCTCCTGATTTAAAATTTTCAACATGAATGGTGACATGGGATATTGCTTTCTCTTGAAAGGTTTGGCATCACCGGTATCAATTTTCATGGAAATTTTATTCGTTATGCCAATCTGAGTGTCGCTAGATATTTCTCGAAAAGAATCCAAAACTGACTGAGCAAGGGTACGCTGGTTATCTGAGAAATCATCCAAGGTAAAAAGTGAGGTAACATCATAATTGTGATTTTGGAAATCGAAGGTAGAAGTATTTTGGGAAAACCAGGTATTTTTACTGAAATCCACTATCAATGAAAATTGTGTGGCAAAATCGCTACCAAAAATAAAACTGTGTACCAAGGATGGTACCACTAAAGCTTTTAAAACCGGACAGGAATCATTAAGGTAAATAGGTAAATCAATAATACCACTAGCTTTCTGTTGTGTGCCATCAGCTACGGCTACACACTTAATAGAAGAAGGATTTATGACGATATTGGAATTTTTGAGAAACTTTAAACCTTCTGAACCAACAATGGAAATCGTTGCGCCACTATCAAATAATCCGACAACTTCAAAATCAAATATATTAACCCTTATGTAAGGTCGATTGTCGAGAGTTCGAGGTACAAGGACAGGAGCTATTTCAGCGGTATGTTTTTCAAGTTCTGGGAAAAGTATTGAAAAAGATACAAGATAGT